CTATGAACTAAGGATGGTTTTTATCTTTAAGAGATTGTACAAAGACAACAACAACAACAACAACAAAAATAAGAATATGTAACACCCTGTGTGGCCCCAAAGCCTAAAATAGCATCTGACCCTTTACAGAAAAAGTTTGCTGACCTCTGCTTAGAACAGCATTGTCCAAATAGAAATATGAGCCACAAATGCCAGCCAAAATTAAGTTTGTGTAATTTCAAATTTCCTTGTAGCCAACATTTAGAAAGTTGTAATTAATTTAAATACATTTTCAACTCAAATCAATATAAAAAAAATAGTGTACTGGGTGACATCAGAGGAATGGTGGCATGAAAGATTCCTTTGGTCTTACCCCTTGAAGTTTCAACAAAGGACTCCCTGCTCAACGCACAAACATGTCTGAGAAACCGCACACTGAAACATCTAAAGGTGGGCAAGTGGGAGCAAACTGGGAAGGCCGGAAGGGAAAAAGCTGAGACTAGCCACAGATGCAGCCCTGCAGCTGGGATCTCACAAAGGGGCTCAGCCTGGAGAGGGAACAGCCCAGAGAGGGAAGGAATCAGATGGCTGCGGCTGGCGCTGCTTTCAGTCAGGGGGAGCAAACGGATTTAGTGAGCATTCCTGTAGGAGTAGGCAGTACTAGCTGTAGCTGAGCCCAGTGACTTGGGTAGGGATGAAGCACAAAGGTGTGCCCTCCGTTGTCTGGCAATCGGCATTCCAGACAGAGAAACAAAGCCACACAGCCCTTCCCTTAACCTCCCAGAGCTCGCCTCCCTTTACCATTGGTGTTAGGTTGCAGAGCAAATTATATGCATACCGAAGAGCTGGTACTACAAAATCATTTTTTCCCTGACAGGCAAGCTGAGACTAATCCCAGGGTCCGGTGAAGGCGTGGGGGGAGGTGGGGTGTCAGGAGGCGTGGGAACAATGCAAAGGTCCACCGGTTGGCACTGACAGGAGGGCAAAGCAACAAAAGAGGTGGCCGGGTTCCCGCCCCCCCCCCACATCACCCCACTGCCAGGCACCGAGGCTACACTGCCAGCAGCGTATGGCTGCAGGGAACAGCACTGGGAATAAATAAATGGATAAATTCCTAGAAATAGATAACTTTCCTAGACTGAATCATGAAGAATTAGGAAACTTCAACAGACCAGTCAACAGTGAGGAAATTGAAACAATTATAAAAAACCTCCCCAAAATAATAGTCCAGGACCAGGTAGCTTTGTTTTGAATTCTACCAAACATTCAAAGATTTGATACCTATCCTTCTCAAACTCTTCCAAAAAATTGAAGAAGAGATGATACTTCCTAACACATTTTATGAGGCCAACATAACCCTGATATCAAAACTGGGCAAGGATAACACAAAAATGGAAAACTACAAACCAACATCTCTGATGAATACAGATGCAAAAAATCCTAAACAAAATACTAGCAAATTGAATAAAACAATACAT